TGGAGTGGTTGCTGCTATGTAGTTTTGGCGCGGAAGAGGAAGAGGGTAGGGTTTGGCGGGAAAAAAGAAATAAAAAAATGAATAACGGATGAACAGTAGCTCGTTTGTTGTAACGAGCTACTGTAACATCCTCAAATTTTGCGCGCTTGTAGCGAGATTGATGCGCCTGGTTTTTTGGAGTTCATCTCCTAGTTTAGCTGGAGAGAGCTGTCTGTCGAGTTTGATGAGGTTGCTCTTATTACCTATTTTAATGATTTATTAGATTTATGCATGAATATTATTTAATAAAAATTAAATTAAATTAAATTAATAGTTATAATTATATTTTTTTTTTTCATTTTTAACTTTAAAAAATGCGCATTATTATTACAATCATTTTTATGAATATGAAAACAATAAAATTATATTATTATAAAACTATTAGATCAATGTGATTTTTAAATAAAAAAAATTACAATCATGTGTAAGTTTTTTAAAAATATTTTAAATTATAATAAACTCTATTAATATTAATAATTAAATCTTAAACTTTTTGATAAATTTATAATTATTTTATAAAAATACTACTAAATTATTTAATTTTTTATAAATAATCTACTCGACAAAATTAAAAATAAACCATAGGCTCATCTAAGTGGAACTAGTAGGGGTGCAAACTTGGACGAGCTCAACCTGAGCAACCCAACCCGAGTTTTTTTAAGGCTTGGGCAACAATTTATTGTAATCTAGGCGGGCCGTGGCAAATTTTTATGCCCGAAATTGTAATTTGAATCGAGCCTGGGCAGAGGCTTGGTAACCCGAGTTGCATTTTATATATTATAAAAATTATATAATATATGTATAAATAGGCGGCCCTTAGATTTTTTTTTTTTTTTTTTTTTTTGCCGGGCTTTGGCCCTTAGATTTAGAATTGTAACGTCCAAATTTCCAACCCAAATGATAATACAATATCATGGCTCTTTCAAGAAAAAACTGAATATAAATCTCCAAACTTACATTACATAATACAATAGTTCTTCATACAACAATACATTAATCCAACAAAAGTAAATAAACAAATAATTACCCCCAAGGGGTTACAAGTTTCCAAGGCTTGAGCCTGGTTAGACAAAATGGTTATTCAAACCCACACAAACACAGCCCTTGCTTAACCACAGAGTCACAGCAAAATGAAAGCATTGTACTCCCAACACACATACTTCCACACCCCTAGTTGGGTGATCACCACATCTTTTCCGCATAAAAATCCCGTAGGGTGAGCATAAAGCTCAGTAGGAAATTCTTAACAAAGTATATACATTTTATACAAGTCTAAAGAGATGAAATGCACATGCCATGCTATACCCTTTTGAAGATTAATCACATTTTCATCTTTTGAAAACCATCATACTCAATGATATCATGAACTTCAATTGTTCAAAACTTAAATATTTATTTCAAGGGTGGTAAATAGATTCTGGTAATCCTAGGTCGGTGTCTGCAAGTAGACTATATAAATACTACCAATTGTCATTTTTACCAGCATTGACTAGAAGGCTCGACACCTATTATCTGTCATTTTTACCAGTATTAACTAGAAGGCTCGACATCTATTCAATTTCATCTACACCACCTGTCAAGACTTACCACCGTATTTACCCCAAAACTAATCATGGAAACTTGTTTCTCAACATTCTTTTCTCAATGCAAGTTTTCAAATCAACTTTCAAAGTTTAATGTAATCAAATGAATTGATATGCCAATAACACAAGATGAGATATAAATACTTTATTCCAATTCATCATCCAAGGAATAATACAATTCTCCTTCTCAAGTATCCTCAACAATTAGTCATTTCAAGACTATTTCAACGTTTTGAACAATAATTTTCAAAATGAACAACAATTCTACATTCCCTGAAATTCATCATTTAATAAATATAATAAGAAATTTTTCAAACATCCATTTATTTGACACACAAAATAAATATAAAATATCATTCATGGATTTTCAGTCTCTTTAAAAAAAATCTCCAAATTCTAGGTTCTTCTTGGTTTTCTCACCAAAACTATACAACTCAAATCTTTTGAAATAAAACTTTCCAAAATCATCTTTTCTTCAATCAACAAAGATCAAAACCCATAAGATCATTTTAAAAGAACAAGAGACCAACCCACTTTCAAAATCGCTCAACTTTTTGAATTAACAATCAATTTTCAAAGCTATCGAAAGATGATTTCGAAAATCATCTAGATCTTGCAAAAATATATATATATATAACTCTAAGAAAATCCCTACCTCAAGTTTTGAAGAAGAAATGAGATGAACCCCCAAAATCAATGGTGTCCAAACTCGATCTTCACCGCACACAACGAAGCCCTCGAGGAGCTAACCAACTTTGATGAAGAACTTAGGTCAAAATCCCAAAGGATTTGAAGAAATCAAAGATCTTCTGAGGTTTTTGGTAGGAAATGTAGAGGGAATGGAGAGGAAATGTTTTTAGAGAGAGACAGATATACAAAAGTGATTCAACTTTAGCCCGACAAGAGAAGAAAAAGGAAAAAATTTCAGATCTCACCAACCCACCGCACCTCACTCTCGCACCTGCCTTTTTAGCAGTATGCAAGCTATGCTCTCCCCTAAAATCTGCACGTGCGGCTTTCTCTCCCGCTCGACCCCCGCCAGGGTGCTGCCCTTGGACCCACTAAGGGGCGTTGCCCCCTGGACCCTCGTGAGCTGACCGAGCAGCTCGATTCCCGACATACTCAACGAAGTGGCAAAACTGGGATCGCTACAAGAATCTTATATTTGGACCATTAGATTAAAAGTAAAAACTAAACCTTACTCATTCTTTTCTTCCTCTGTGCGTCTTAAACTCTCATTT